AAGTGTTTTTGTAATTCCTCCAAAGTTATGTCATCTCTCCTATGAAGGAGTTTCTTTCTATAACCATTCCAACTTTGAGGCAATTTAGCAATATTTGCCCCCACTTGGAATGATTCAGAAATCTCAACCTTCAATTCACGAAGATTAGTAATAATGACTTGCAATTCATGTGTTTGATCTAGAACGGACTTGGTATCAACCATGACAAATTCTAGAAATTTCAAGATGAGAAATTTGTCCGTACCTTCCTTCTCAGTTTTGTATTTGTATTCGAGAGCGTTCTAAATCTTCACCGGAGACTCCATCGAGTTGTAAAGATCGTAGAGCCTATCGGAGAGAGTGTTGTGAATATGACCCCGGCACATGATTTCATCATCTCTTCGCTTCTTCCTTGCGGTCTTCAATTCTTCAGAATCATCCTCATTTGGTTCAGGAAGAGGCTCTAATTTCGGATCAAGTACGTAGGCGATCTTAAGCACGGTGAGAAGAAAGAACAACTTTCCTTTCAAGCGGGTGAAGTTGGTACCATCAAAACGATCAAGTTGAACATTAGGATTGAGGAAAGACGTCATGTTTTTTTCAACCTCCATTGCAACAAATTAAAACCTTAAAGATTGTTGGAAAAATTCAGAATTGGGAGGATGAAAAGAATAGAGAAAGCAGGAAGAGGGTTTGAGGCGTATAAGAATACTTTCCTTTAAGATTTTATTTGCCCTCACTTCTCAAAGTTTGCTAACGAGTTTTAAAATGGCAAATTACCCCTAAGATACAACAAACGCTTGAACACAATATCCAACAAAAATATTGAGTTCCAGAACAATCATCATCTGTATTTTCTGAAGTCCATCAAATAAAGACAGGGATGCATCCATCCTCCTTAAGTATTACAACCTTTCACATAAAGATACCTTTTCAAATTTGAAGGTTATCTTTTATATGCTGATGCACTTATATCAATAGTTATTTCTATTGTTAATAAGTGCTCAGATATATGAGAAAACATATCACAAATAGATGCAATGGTTCGAGACCTTTTCAGATCACTAAAACACACGAAAACACATTTTCCGTTAACAATTTACGCTGCAGCGCCCAAGAAGCGCGTCCGTGCGCTGCAGCGCGCAGGCTTAGCAAAACAGACCCGAGAGGTCTATTTAGCGTAGGCTGCAGCGCCCAATAAGCGCACTGCAGCGCGTCCGTGCGCTGCAGCGCACGCTACTGTGTGCTGCAACGCGCGGGCTTAGCAAAACAGACCCGATAGGTCTGTTTTGCACAGGCTGCAGCGCGCGCTTGTGTCCGCCCCCTCTTTCCGAATGTGTTTTAAGCCAATTTTGTGATATTGAAATTGAGAGATATATTACAATCTCTCCAACATTACGTTTGTCTTTGGCGTTGTATATAATGACAAATAGAAATAGCATTTCTGTCTCATGTAAACTACATTTTCTACCCCAAAAAGAAGTATGAACTGCATGTCGTTTGTGTGTAAACGTCTATAATGCAAGTAAACATGTCGTTTCAAGAGCGACATTTTGTTTGCGTTTCAGATTTGCAGCCGTGCGGCCGTGTTGTGTCGTGCCGCACCGCCTATCCTATTTTATTCTCCTTCGTTTTACTTGCTTTGCAATTTGCTGCCGTTTGTTCCAAAATGACAATTTTCTTGTCGTTTCTCCCGAAAGTGATACGCCCATACTCATTTGCTATCCAAATTTGAGCTTCTTTCCGCAGAACTTCTTTCTTTTTCCCTCCATTGGAGAATTTTTAAGACTGGGAAATCTGTCTCGCATAAATTTTCTCCATTTGAATCCTCCAAGATAATTACACGTTTGCTATCCAGAGATCGAAACATTTTTCTTGTCATTTAAACACAGAAAATGACATGTCGTTCAACTCAATTACGCAAAGAATGCATCATTCATGATCTAATTTTCTTTTTGAGAATTTCAGACTCAAAACTGTCTTCCTAGTACACTTTTCTGCATCTAAATCCTTCATTGAAAACTTTCCAGTGTCAAATGCCTACTACTACATCCTCTAAAAGCAATAATAATGTACATAATAATGTAGACGTCACCTGGCCTATGTGGGAATAAACATGGCAAATGAGATAAGTCACAAAAGTACAATCAATCTTAATCAATGAGAAGATGACACAGGCTCCATCACTCTTAGTGACCCTCCGAGCTCTGCCGGCACAAGCGGAATAAGCGAGTGCAGTACATCGGTTATCAACGGCCTGTAACTTGGTTCTGGTTGCACACATAGGACTGCCACTGCAGCAACCTGTTCCACACGGCACATTAGCTTCAATCTTAGCAACTAATATAAGAAAATGTTGGCCGGATTGGATGTGTTTCCAAAGTAGTTTTTTACAAAAGAACCTGGTAGAGGTGTTTTAGGTCCATAGTATTTCTAATCACATGATCCACAACGTTGGGAAGCCTCGTTCTGTCTATGAGCTGAGGCATTGCCTACACGTTGAGCATGGATAGAAATTGTGCTTATGAGAACTCACATCTTTAAAATAATAATAATAAATAAATAAATAAAATAGAAGGATATTCATTTACCCATTTTACAAGAGACTGGTTTTCAGTTTCAGCTGACGCCTTGTTTTCCACAAGCTTTCTTCCCATCAGGAGCTCCAAAAGAACAACCCCAAAAGCATAGACATCACTTTTATCTGTTAATTTTCCTGAACATTTGAATTGAAATACTATTACTCAAATGATACCACACTGGTCAGTGTAACATACAAAACACAATTTCTTTGACTATGATTTTTTTGTAAGAACTCCAATACAAACTCCATTTCAGAGGAACAACCGGCAAGGGGGTAAATAAACAGTTTAAATGAGAATATAGCAATAGATGTAAAAATAGACGCATACCATCCAAAATGTACTCTGGAGCTACATAAGCGGCGGTTCCGGACAGCCCTATGTTGTCCTTGTTTTCAGTACCAGAAGTCACAGCAAGTCCAAAATTCGAAAGCTAGATCAAGGAGAAAACTCACTAGGGGGAAAGAAGATGCTTTCCATATTAGGCATTGACGGGTCAGGGTAATAGATCTCACCTTAGCATTAAAATTAGAATCCAGAAGAATGTTAGACAATTGTAGATCTCTATGGACTAGAGGAGGATTACAGTGCTCATGTAGATATTCCAATCCCCTAACATAATCAACAATAATGGTTCCTCAGGTTAGTATAAGGAAAAAAAAAAATAGCATTGTATGTGTTCTGAGGACTTACCTTGCAACATCAACAGCAATCTTCAGCCTTAGGTGCCAAGTTAGAGCTGACCCCTGAGTGGGTCCTACAGAATTAATCAAACATAGTTACAAAATAAGTATCAACATAATGTTCAGTTTTTCAAGCCAAGCTGTTTGTTTTCAATTGAGACCAATTAGAACTAACTTACCATGCAGTTGAGTTTCTAGTGAGCCGTTCCGCATCATTTCATAAACAAGTAGCCTTGTTTTGCCATGAATGCAGTAACCCAAAAGTTTGATGATGTTCTGGTGCCGGATTTGGCTCAGCCAGTTCAACTCATTCTGCAGTGGAAGTGATGATCAATGTGGAAACACACAGACATAAAAAACCACATTCAGAATCGGTTAAGAGATGGGAGAATTACATCGAATTTTCTTTCATCATCCGGCAATGCATCGTCAAGTTTCTTCACCGTTGCAAGAAGCTTTTCATCAAAACGAGCTTTGTAGACATGCCCCGAGCCACTCTCACCCAAGTCATTACTCTGGCTGAATTTGTTTGTTGCAGCTTCCAACAATTCGTAATCGAAAATAGCAACTGAACTCCTTCTACTCCCCATCCTCGAGGTGTTATATCTGACCATGACTTGACTAGATGGTACCCCTTCTGCAGCCTCTTCTAATTGATGTTAAGAAAATAAAACAAAAATCAGAAAACAACGGAAAAAAAGGTTCATCAAACAATTGGAGGAGAAGCATGTTTTACCCGTTTTCATTCGATTTTTCCCATTGGAGTCTCTCAACTTCTTATGTCTATAAATCCAACCGCAAGACAGAAATAGCAAGAGACCACCAAGGACAGTGGAGGCAACAATGAGTGCAATAAGAACTCTCTTGTTCAAATCTTGGTGGTGCACTATTTTAACCTCAGAATTTCCTGCTTTAACAACACACAACAAAAGCCATAACAACACTCATTAAGGTGAAGAAAGTAAACCACTTTCTTCCTAAATTAAGCAAAAGTTGAAACATGGCAAACCTTGAGAAAAAAATATGCTTCCATTTGAACCATAAAAAAGAGAAATTCGGTCCTTATCTACTGTTCTGTGCTTTTCAGGAGAAATGAAGATAACTACTAAGTTTTTTTTCCCCCATTTTAAGAATCAATTTCAATTACTGGGTCTGGATTTGAAACAAAACTCAAATTGAGGACAACAGACACAGAAAAAAGTCGGCACTTTGGAGATAAAGAGATACCTGGAGATTGAGCATCCATTGGAGAAAAGTGAGAAGTGGGTTCTTCCTCAGCAAGAAGAAGATGCCCAGAAATGTTGGAAAGAGTGGCCTTCTCTAGTCTTGCATCAACAATGAGAGAGAACCAAATGGTGCAGATGAGAAGAAGAAGTAGATTCATGTGTTGCCAAAAAAAAAAGAACAGAGAGAGACACAAAAATTATATTTTGAGTGTGGATGAGATAATGTGTTGGGACTATGAGAAACTTCTGTGGTTTGTCTGTGTAAGTTTTGAACTCTTTCCTTTCTCTCTCTACGTGTGCAAATGTACTTTTGTTAGGAGAAGGGGACAAAAGACGGTTTATAGCAGGAAAACCAAGAAAGCACTTTTTTTTTCGATTTAAGAAGATCTGTAGAGATTAGAGGGGAGATAGGACGTGAAATCTTGTGGTAGTTGTCAAAAGGTGAAAGTTCAGTCTCTCTATGTTAGATGTCGTGGATAGTGGACGAAGACACTTCACACATGAATATTATCCAATAATAATAAAAGAAATAAAGAAGGTGAAAGTTCAGCTCTCTATGTTAGATGTCGTGGATAGTGGACGAAGACACTTCACACATGAATATTATCCAATAATAATAAAAGAAATAAAGAAGGTGAGAGAGAGAGAGAGAGCGCGCGCTAGAGAAGAGGATAGGAAGAAAAACAAATATTAAAAATAGAGAATTTAGCCTCAGTATATTTCATCGATTTGAGTTTAGAATTTAAGTTTTGTCACAGTAAAAAGTTTTCAAAAATAGTCACATTTAATTTTTTTATTACAGTAAAAAATTCTCATATAAAATCACATCTCAAGTTGAATCAGTGAATTAAACAGGCCATTAATTTTAAAAGTATATGAACCTGGACTTTTATTTTTTACTCTTCATAAATACCTTTTGTTAGTCTAATTATTTAATTAAAAAAGTTATGAATTAAGAATAAAATATAAAAATCATGATTCATACATTTTTAAAAAATATTTATCAAGATTACCCAAATAAATAAGAAGATTAGCCTTTTATTAGGACTTTGCTAGATGTATTTTATTATTATTTCTTTTCAGTTGTGTGAAATAGTTCAACTTTACTCTTTTGCTAGTTGTATAATGGACAAATTTTATAAATTCTTCCGTAACTTTGTCACTTGTATCAATATGTTCATCGAGATTAATTATCTTAAGTTTTTTTAACAGAAATGCTTATAAACACCCCTGAATTTTGTCACTTGTGTCAATATAATCTCTTAACTTGAAAATGTACTTGTTTTGGAAATAAAATCCCCTACTATGGAGATAATCCACTTCTAATTATTAATCCACTTCTAATTGTTTCCAAAATCAATTAGAAGTAGGAGATAATTATTAAATTTTATTTTGGAGATAAAGTTTAGACTTCTTCTGGGAGTCTGATGGCTACTTTATAAATAGGAGATTGTAAAAACTTGAAGAACACAATTTTTGCTCTCCCCAGCATAGTGTGGCCGAATTCTATAGAGTGTGCATAAAGGAAAATTTTTCTCTCAAATTTCACGCCGTGCATGTGTTGGTATTCGTGAAATACTTGAGTGTTTATTTACTAATCCGGTTTTGTTTCAGGTATGCCCACACACATGTCTTCGTAGATTCAAGGAATTGACAAGGAAGATTCGAGAATTCTAAACAAGCTTAGAGCAAAGAACGTTCGTGGTCAAAGAACTTAAGTTATAGACATAATCGTTCGCTAGGTAAATTTATTCATAAATTAATTTGATTAATTTATTCATGTATGAATTAATTTGATTAATTTATTCATGTATAAATTAATTTGATTAATTTATTCGTGTATAAATTAATGTAATCTATAGAGTATCTCAAAGGTTTGTCAAAATTTTTTATTATACACGATCTACTAGATACATGCTTTTGCATAGAAAATCATTTTTCAAAACTAACACGGTGTTTCCTGCTTATCAGCCGTTGGATCTGTATTAAATCTTATCAAAAGTCAAATTATATTGAAAAAATAATATAAATCTGACGACTGTTAAACATGAATTACCAGTGTACCAAAAAAAAGAGAAAACATCAAAAAAAATTCTCAAATTTATTAGTCTAAAGACATTTTATTTTCAATTAAAATTTTCTCTGAATGCTACTATTCATTCTCATAAGATTAAAACTCTATTACTCATACAAAAGAGTCCAAATTTACTATCCCTAAATTGTCGTCCCAATAGATGTCCCACCTATTAGTGCTTGACACATCATCACACTTTGACACATCATGAGCTATTATAAACCTAAAAAATTAGAGTTATTTTAAGACTTGTTTAATTCACTGATTTAAATTTTTAATTTAAGTTAAGTTTTAATTTTATATAAAAATATTTAACTGTAATAAAAAAATTAAATATGAATATTTTGAAAAGTTTCTTATTATAATAAAATGAAAATTTTAAACTTAAATTAATTAAATGAAGGAGAACTTAACGGACCTGTGCTATATTGTTTTCAAATTTCAACGTAATACAAAAAGCTTTTTACTTTACTCTACAGGGCTCATTTAGTTCGTTGATTTGAATTTTTAATTTGAATTGAGATGTGATTTTATGTGAAAGTTTTTTACTGTAACAAAAAAGTTAGATGTACTTGTTTGTGAGAGCTTTTTACTGTAACAAACTCGAATTTTAAACTCGAATCAACGAAATGAACGGGCTTTATTTATCTGTTCTTTTTCTTTTTGCCTCTATTCCTTTCCTTGTTGCTTTTCACTTATTGTCTCAATTTTTTTTTGGGTAATGTGTAATAACCAAAAGAACAAGATAATCGGAGATCCATCAATGGGTTTCACAGCAAAAGCTAAAAACTTCATAGAAATTTGAGAAATGAGTCTTCTTCTTCTTCTTTTTTTTTTTTTCCAGAAGATAAGATCAACACAACCACCATCAATATTGAACAAGAGAAGCACCGATAGAAACAAGCTCATATCTTCTTCTTTTCCATTGAAGTCTTGACTGAAAATGATTATTAAGAGAAGCTATTTGAATCGTCTTCTCTCGAACACCCAATCCATCATTTCGATTTGCACTCTCCTGCTTTTCACTCTCTCCACCTTCAAGCCGAACAATCAACGAGCGAGGATGATTATCAACGCCGATCCCAAAGATTCCTCGACGAGAATGAATCTCGCTATAGTACTTTAAAGCCGAAATTGAGCCTTGATTCTTGTTCTCGTCTAATTGGTAATTTTGGTACTTGTCCAAAATGCGGAAGCATCGAAAATCTAAGCTCGAACGCGGATCAGTCTCTCGTCCTCACACGGTTCTACAAGGCGTAGGCACTCTATACACGCGAGGAACCATAGCCATAGCCAAACTCCGAAGTTGGACTCGGTTGTTGACGATGAGAATGAAAAAAACAATATGGAAACTGGAAAGAGTAAAAAAGAAGCCAAAAAAAAGGAGTAACGAAAACATAATAAGATACAGCTGCAAACCAAAGTCTAGGACACGTTCTTTTACCAAACTCAACTTACAACTTAAAATTTAAGTTTAATTTTTTTCTTATAATATTTTCACTCACCTACTAAACTCAAGTTCATAATTCAAATTGAGTCTCCCTAAATGGGCAGGTAGGTCTTAATATTTTGTGACCCAATATTTTATCCATGGAGATTAATAACATTTTTTTTCTTTTTTTTAAGAAAAATAGAAAATTTTTACAGTGAAGCATGCTATTTTATTCCATCAATAGAAATAGTAAGAGGATTAGTTTTTAACAGTAATGTTGACGGTTGAATTTCACCAACAGAATTATACCGGGTTACCTCTCGGTATACTGTTAGGTTACCGGCCTGAAATCGTTAACAATTTGGATTAATGCTGCTAAAGTGCTCTTTGTAGTATGGTAATTTAAGAAGTGCGGAAGTGGTGCCTGAATGAATATAAAGAGTACATGAGTTTTATAGTGGTTCACTCTGTTAATGAAGAGCTACATCCACCGTGTATTGTATATATCTTTTTTCTCCTTTTGTTACATCCGAAAAAGCTCTCTCATTCTTTGGGGCTTTGCCCCTTTTATAGCCCAAAAATTACTTCTTGGGCGGTTCTTCTTTGTAGGCCTATCCACTCGAGTGGCCTAATATCCTATGGACCCAGACCATAGCCTGTACTATTCACTCATCCAATTTGTCCCCTATTACAGCTCTGCAGATCCTGTAATTTTCAACCGTCCGTTTCAGGCGGTTTTAAGAGCTCATAATTAATCCCTACGCTACTGACATCTTTTGAACCCAGACGTAACCTGTCTGTGTCAGGGATCTTTATTTGAGGCACTCCGTCACCCGTGTTCTGCCCTCGACGCCTATACTAGTAAACAAGGCGTCAGCTTTGTTCGGCTGACTCTGTTGTAGTGCTTCTAATGCGCAAGTTACACAGGTCTCGACGGTCTCGAATGGTTGGCGGTCTAAGGATTCGTCTATACGCTCAGCCTTTCTAATCATTCAGAAGGAAAACAAGGTCCAGACGTCGACTGCTATTTGACGTGGCAAACATAGGGCCACGTGGAGCGCTATCGCCGTCCAACGTGTTAGTGCACATTTTTCTACATAACAAGTAAAATCTGTGTAAATTTATATTATAAATTTATAACACGTCATACAAAACTACTGTTATTATTGTAGATCTAACAATTAAAAAATTAATCTAACAGAAAAAATACAATTCCCACCTGTTGAGTAAAATACATGCTACACCATCATGACTCCCGAAAAGCATTCAAATTACAAAAGCTATACATTTTATTGTTAATGAGCCATGTCACCTGCAAAATCCATGTTCGCGTACTGATAGTGCAACTAACGTGATAACATATCATGATGTGAATTATTTTATTGTTAATAATTTGAGGATGCTTTCTATATACCTAAAATAGACCAACACATTACACTACAAGCAATAATCAATCAAATTTTTTCCCAGAAAAAAATAGTAATAATCAATCAAAGTTTATGCAACATACACGAGAGCTAATTACGAGTTATATTGTCCTTGTTAACAATAAGCGCGACAACTCCTAAATAAAAAACAACCAATTAATACTGTGGTCTAAAAAAATATTGTCCAAGCTGAGTATGTTATTTTATAGTTAATTTTTTTACTTTTGTTTTAGACTTGTAGTGGCCAGTGGATATATATAGATTTATACATGAAATTTCATATCAAAATTTAACTTTAGCAAAAATTTTGAAATATTATAAGAATAACAAAATTTTATATCATTTTTATGTCATTAAGATAATAACTATATCATTATATAATACAAAATATAATATTATTATGATAATTACTACGACATTTTATTATATTTATAATATTCTAAAAATTTTGTCATCTAGTAATTACTATATATATATATATATATATATTAACCTATACAATGAGAGGAACATGAGGCATGTGCCTCAGTACGTATTTTTAGGGACATTCTTTGTCTTATGTTACTGTGCACTAAATGGCAATTGGACAAACATGCGTTAAAAATCCATTACGGAAGCTGGATATCTTTTAGTGGTGAAGATCCAGAGTCTTGCTTTATGACATGCTTTTCAACGTATTGTTGGTGAACTTTGCTTGCTAAAAAAGGTAATAAATAATTGATATAAGGTTCAAATTCCCTTATCCGAGTTTATAAACAAACAAACAAAAAAATAATAATAATGAACGACATAAAAATGAATGTAACATGTTAATCGAGTTAGTATTAGTATTTCACAATCGTAAAGGCCTAGATTAAAAGGCATATCTTGATAAAAGTGTAATAAGGTGCTATCATGATCTTTAATTTTCTTTTTATTTATTGAACGAAAATTATTTATTTTTAAGTGGAGTGACAAAAATCATATTTTTTTTACCATTTTAAGTGATTTTTTTTGGGTTTTTTCCTAAAATTTTATAAAAGAAAGGGCACACACATTAAACACTATTTATCCATACTAGTATGAGGAACGTGCCTCAAGTAACAAAAAAAAAAAATACAATAAGCTAAATAAACAACACAATTAAAAAATAAAAAGTACAAAGGATACTTTATAGTAGCAAAAAAATAATCAAAAAAATTCAAGAACAGTTAAAAAGTGATGAAAATACAAACAAAAAAATGTATACCATAAAGTAATTTATAACAATATATGTATTAACATACTTAACAAAAAAATAATAATGTCCACTAATATTAAAAAAACAAAAGAGAGTAAAAGATAGAATATATATATAATATTTAATACATACTAAAAATATATACACAAGTAACACAAAGATGTATATATATAATATACTAATATAAAAGATAAAATAAAACGTGAACCATTCTTAAATGTATTAATAAAAATAAACAAATACATTGACACATTAACAAAATAAAAAATATATATAGTAATGGTAATATATATATACCAAGTCCAAAAAATATATATTAACATACTTAATATTTAGCACGCTAATATATAAGTGTATACTAATATATAAAGTAATAGCAATTTAAAGATAAAATATATTAACATGGTACTTATTAATATATCCATACTATTAATATTTAACAAGTCAACTCATAGTGGTGTGTGAGAATGATTAAGCCATGTGGATGAACCATTAGATTGAAAAGAGAGTAAAACTCTAGGATTGGTTCAATTAATGGTTGAAGGGAAAAATACAAAAAAGAAAAAAGAAAATAAAAAGTTGGAAGCAAGCAAGGATAGTGTTGAAGAACGAAACTTTTTTACCCACATCCGTGCTTCTTAATAGTATAGTAATAAGGATTTAATTTCAGGATTAGGCTCAGGCCATTCCAATTAATATAAGGACCATAGAAATGTATTTAAAAATTTAAAGATAAATTCAATAATTTTCTCTAACGTTTTACTTTCTAAACGACACATTGAAGGGTAAGGGCCTATCAAGAAGAGTCGCTAAACAGCACAATCTGCTTTCCATTTGAACAGAGCAAAGTCGGTGGTTATCTATACAAAGATTAACATATATGCCCTACAATGGAGGTAATGGGGACATCAACAAAGTTTGGTGTTTGAATATAGCCCCAACCAGATTTGATCCACCATCCTACTTGCAACTTTATATCCAACTCCCAACTCTCTCTCTCTCTCTCTCTCTCTCTCTCTCTCTCTCTCTCTCTCTCTCTCTCTCTCTCTCTCTTTTATTTTATTTTATTTTATTTTTTTTAAATACCAGTCTATGATCTTTCCCACAACATGGATGAAATTCATATGTTGGCATTTATGAAATCAACTTGACTTGTTAGTTAAGTACAATCTAGACAGGTGCAAGTGTAGAGCTTTCAACTAGATAATATTTTTTTAATATAAAAAAAAAAACAACATCAATTTTTAAAGAACATAACTCGAGGAAACCAAACTAAAATATCCGACTAGAATTTAACAGTATTACTATTAATAACATTTTGCTATTTTGCTATTTCAAAGTTGGATTAGGGCGGGAGACATATCGTCATTTCCATAATTGCATACTTTTACGTGTATCCTAAAGAAGAAAAAAAAAAAATATATATATATATATATATTTCGCTTGCTTGGTGGCCAGTGGGCTTTAATATATTTGAATGATTACTTTTACAGAAGCTAAAACCGAAAGAGGATTCTTTCAACAAAAGCGTGAATTAGAAATCCATAAGGTAATTCGTTCATTTCACCGATTGAGTTTAAAATTTAAATTTTATTATAATAAAAGGTTGTTCGGTTCACTAATTCAAGTTTTTAATTTGAGTTGAGATATGATGTTATATGAGAGCTTTTTACTGTAGTAAAAAAGTTAAATATGACTGTTTCTGAAAGCTTTTTACTGTAGCAAAACTTGAATTCTAAACTCGAATCAGCGAAAAGAACGGGGCCTAAAAAGCTTTCAGAAACATTCACATCTAACTTTTTTATTAAAATAAAAAACTCTCATATAAAATTATATCTCAACTCAAATTAAAAAGGGAGAAAGAGGAAAATAGGTAAAAACTTAAGATGAATTAAAATTAATAGGCTAATAATTTACATAAGTTAATAAATAGGTTAAATTACTGTTTTCGTCAATAACTTGTCTGGTTATGAACCATAACTTAACAAGTTATTGTCCATAAATCACGATTTTTGTCATTGTCTGGCTATGAACCATAACTTATCTGATTATGAATCATAACTTGACAAATTATGACATATTAATTTCTATAACTAAAAATTAACATATAATTCCTTAAGTTTTTCATATTAACCTATTTTCTACTATTTTTGAATTAAAAACTCAAATTAATAAATTAAACGGGCCCTAATTTTATAGAACTTCCTCTAAATTCCTCTCGAAAAAGAAAAAAAAAAAAAACTCCTCCCTCTAATTATTCTATTTGAAAATAAGAAAAATGCTACAATGTGGCACCCCACCGACGGAGGACGCGTCTAAGGTTGCGACGGAAGACGGAACAGAGGTTGCGATTTGCGACCCAAATCGGCGAGATTCCGTCATCGGAGAGGTCAAGACCCATCTCGTCACCCTTCGTGACAGAAGTTTCTAGCCATGGAGGCTGATTAACGGTGGTCCCAACGGCATGCATGCCGGCTGTCGATTGCAACGGGAGCTAAGAGGGGCTGAGACTTTTTCTTTTTTTCCTTTTTTTTTCCCTCAGTATTGTTCTTTTATTGTAGTCACGCCCTAAAAATAAAAATCTCCAACTCTTTTTTTAATTAATTAAATTATTAATAACACTGCTGCTAACGAGCCATTTTTCAAATTCAAAAAATCATCCAATAGATCTCCTTAAAAGTTAGAACGTAAGATCCACAAAAAAGAAATCAACTGTTGTTATTGCACCGTACTTTGAACAACATCCAAAGAAAACTCCCTCCAATCTTCTCTCCACACAAATCCAACGATCATAAATTCTTTCCCTTTTCTGCTCTGCTTTTCCAAACTTCCCAACTTCGTCTTCTCCGATCGGCCAATTCAATCCCCAAAGCTCATGGATTTGCCGGAGGAATGCTGGCAATCGATCTTCAATTTCGTCGATCACCGCCACCGATTCTCCTCTCTCTCTTTGGTCTGCAAGCAATTCCTCTCCATCACCAACGACCTCGTCACCGCCCTCGCCGTTCTCGATCCAACGCTTCCTCTTCTTCCCGATCTCGTCCGAAGATTCCCGAAGCTTCGGAAGATTGACCTGAGTGGTCTCCGCGGCGACATCGACGGAATTCTCTCTCAACTGGCGGAAACCGATTTGGCTCTGGAAGAAATCGATGTCTCCAATCGGAGGAGTGTCTCCATTCGTAGGAACCTTCCGATCCACGGTTTGCGATCGGTTGGCCGACCGAAAGTTTCGAGATTGAGGCGTTTGAATTGCTCCAAAATCGGATCCTTACGGGACAGCGATTTGAATTTGATTGTGGAATCGTTCCCGTTTCTTGAAGACCTCGATATTAGCTTTCCCGAGCTTGGATTTTCCAATTCCGGTGGTGTTTGGACACCGATAACCGATGCTGGGATTTTGTCGCTGTCGTTGAAGCTCAAGGGTTTGAGGAAGATCAACCTCTCTGGTAATCACTTCATCACTGATCGGTCCCTTGCGTATCTTTCTGCGAACTGTTTGTTGTTGAATGAGATTGTGATACATTGCTGTGACTTCATAACCCAAAATGGCATTGCTTTGTTGTTCCGTCGCTGTGCTAATTTGAATTCAGTATCGGTGTTCCGAATTAGGTTTTCTTTGGATGATTCCACGTTCAATTATTCGTTGTTATGTGCAAAAGCTTTACGTGCTGTTGATTTTACTGAATCTGTTATCTCCGACGAATTGCTTTATTCGATTGGAGAAGCATCTCTGCCGTTGAATAAGCTCATTCTGGCTAATAGCTGCGGCTTTACATATAATGGTATTTCATTTCTGCTGTCTAAGCATCGGTCCATTCAGCACTTGGATCTTCAAGAAGTGAATTTCCTCACAGACGAGTACATGATTACGTTGTCGGAATTTCTCCATAGTGTAACTTACATAAACCTTAGTATGTGCTATAAGTTGACAGATTCAACCTTCTTCTGCCTCACAAGAAACTGTCCTTTTTTGAATGAAATCAAGATGGCTGGTACAAATCTAGGTGCCGAAGATTCCACTTTTAGCGCCGGTTCTGTTGCCAATACTCGAGTCAAGTCTTTGAACTTGGCTCAAAATCGTTCTTTGGGCAATGAAAGTATCAAGACCTTTGCATCTCTTTGCCCCGATTTGCAAATGCTCGATTTAAGCAATTGTGTGGGAATCACAGAAGAAGGCGTTTTAGAAGTTTTAAGGAGATGCCCTGAGATTAGGCACCTGGGAATGAATCAATGCATTGGGATCGAGAATTTTTTGGTGGACTTCGAACTTTCCAACTTGGAGGTATTGTGTGCATGGGGTTCGGGAATTGATGATTATGGATTGGCATTGATTGGAAAAAGATGTCCCCAGCTGCTGCAGTTGGACTTGACTGGTTGCTTGGCCGTGACGGCGAAAGGAGTGAAGGAAGTAGTGCAGAGCTGCAGAGCATTGAGGGAGATAAATCTCAAGTGGTGTAACAACGTGAGTGTAGATATTGTTGCTTTGATGGTATTCACAAGGCCATCGCTTAGGAAAATAGTCCCACCTTGTGGTTTCGTTCCTAGTGAGAGCCAGAGGAACCTTTACCTGCGCCATGGGTGTCTTATATGTGAGCGTTAGCTTTTCTACGTCACCTTTTTCTGTATCGATTTTTTCTCTTCTTTTCTTTTCTTTTCTTTTTTTTTTTTTAATAATTTTCTCTACTTATAGTATGCGAAGATGATGTATGAAGACTGGTTTTTACTATCTTTTATCTTTCTGTTTGATAAACTGGATTATTGTATTTGGATTTGAAGCACCATTGGCATTGTAGAGATCATTGAATGTGTATGAACATGAATAATATTTTTGATTATTATGCTAGTTTTGGTACTGTTACATTCCTTATCCAGCACCAATTGATCCAACTTTAACCTCGATCATGCTAATTGCAAACTCTGCATCTGTCTCTGTCATACTAAATATTCTATAGAAAACTTAAACTAAAAACTACTGAAAGATTACAAACCAAACTAAGAAAAGCTCGGATATTATGGTAGTAAATAAAAGCAGACTCCGGGAAGAGGTAGATCACAGAAGAACTAAGCGAGATGAAACTGAAGATTAGTTCCCAAACGGAGGTGAATCATCAGAAGGTGGTTGAAGCTGGAAAGGCTCATTGACGACTATATCCGGTGATGGTGGTGTCGACGAAAATGGAAGTGGCTGTTCCGGTGGATTTTCAGGAATTGGAGGTGGCAGAAAGAGACTCGGTGACTGTGGAACAGGAAATTCTGGTGGTCGAATCAATCCACTATCTGGTTCAGTTGGAGTCGGTGTGAAAGAAAATGGCGGTTCAGGTGGTAAAAGAGGCTCAATTGGTGGAGAAAAGACTGGGACAAGGGGTGGAGCTGGAGTAAACTCTTGGGGTGGTAAATCTGGTGTAGGTGGGGGAAGAAAGAAGTCTGGTGCGGTGGGTGTGGAAACAAATGGAGGGGAAGGTACTAATGGTGGCAAATCAGGGGACTCTGGAACTGCTTCAGGAGGCGGTAACCATGGAAGCACTGGTGTTTCTATAATTGGAATGGGTGGGGGGAGGAGTAAAGGTGGTGGTGGAGAGGGCACCAATGGCGGTGGCGGCAAAGGCGGTGGCAGTGATGGAACTAATGGCGGCGGCGGCGGCGGGGATGGTGGAGGTGGAGAGGGTGGCGGTGGTGAAGGTGGCGGTGGAGATGGTGGTGGTGGAGACAGGGGTGGTGGCGAGGGTGAAGGTGGTGGAGGTGAAGGAATTAGTGGTGGGGGTGGTGATGGGGAAGGGAGGAGGGGTGGTGGTGGGGAAGGGAGAATAGGAGGTGGAGATAGCACTAGTGGTGGTGGAGAAGGAAGAATAGGAGGTGGAGATAGCACTAGTGGTGGTGGAGATGGGACAAGTGGTGGTGTGATGGGGATTGGGGGAGCAGAAGGGACTAGTGGTGGCAAAGGTGGCGGAATCCGGCGAGGAGGAGACGGTCTAGGTGCTGGTGAAAATGGATTGTCTGGGGATGGAGAAGTTGGAAAAGGCCATTGGCTACAGGTTCCAAATAGGTATTGGAATAAGGGGTCACAATTTGATCCTCCTCTGCTTCTGCCTCTGCCTCTTCCTCTACTTCTACTTGTTCTGCTTCTTCTCTTCTGTGATTCTTCTTTGACTTGTGATCCTTGCTGGTGTTGCTTGTGTTGGGAATGGTGTCTTGCTTCTGTGATGGTCTGAGTGACAAGAAGCAGCACAAAAATGACCACAACCACAATGTTTCCCTTCATTTCTTGTTCATATTTTGCCCTCTATATCTTTCTACGTGCAAGAATAGAACATATGTATTTATAGAGCAAATTTATACTCCCTATTTCGTGTCACTCATAGTCATTTGTATAAAAACTATAGGCCGAAGGGCTTTTTAAATATATTAAAAAGTTAAATTTTTTGCAATGCTAATAATGTAACGTGAAACCTGCAGTGAATGGTAGAAAGATAAAGACTCAAGTAAGAGCCAACTAAATGTTGCGACTTTCGATACTGTTAAGGATTGGAAAGAGATTTACTCTCTTCTTCTCTTACGATCAAGTCCATAGTCTCTGTGGTAGAACGGTGGGCAGAATGGGGGGAAATTAAATGAAAGGGTTGCCTAGTTTGAAGTGCCACTTTGACAAAAGAAAAGCCTAAAATACGAAAGCAATAAATGTAGTTCTGAGGTTGTTTTATTACATAGTTCTGCTCCATGGGGGACACAAAATAAATGCTTTTTCCATTTACCATATCACAGGATCAGGTGTCTCCGCGGGTCTTTTCTCTCATCTCTATCTTTCTTTAATTATGTCCTTTGGAGATTAGTGATCATCACTCTATTGCAGTTGTAAAGGCCATTTACTTATGAGTAATTCTGCAAAACATGGGTTGAAAATCATGCAGAAAATTTTGAAGCAAAATACTTTTTGGTGGTCTTGGAACCGGGAAGTTTAATGGCAAAAATATATTATTTGCTGATCAGGGTCGATTTTAATGCCAACCCCCAAATCAAGAAAACAAACAGATGTTGTCAAATACAGTACAAGTCTATATCAGTAAAAGCACCACACACGAAAATAATAAGATTTACGCCTCAAATCTCATGTAGTCAAGGATAGATTTCACATGAGAGAGATGCATTTTGTTGAAGAACAGGCTACTGATAACAGCTACAGTTGAATGTTCTTGTCAACCGGAAAAAACCAAAAAAAAAAACTTTAATATGGACCTGGCAAGATGCTAATCTTTATTTTATTTTATTTATTTTTTACCCTTCTGGTTAAATTGATTGATCTTGCCCTCAATTGCTCACCGAACAAAGCCATAAAAAAGATAATCAGGAAATACTCTAATTTTTAGAAATCTGTACGAAGATAAGAGACTATCTAATATGTTGCCAATTTAAAAGTAATCCAGTCCATCCACATACGAAGCTTTCATATCACCATAAAACGTTTTCCACGTTAACAAAACTTCCATAACTAAAATTTAGTAGGTGAAAAATACCATGGTTTCTGCATCAAATGCCTTTATCTCCAGCTGCGAGCCGATTCTCTTTACCGGCTGAATCCACAAGTCTCAGAGCACACAGCAACTGTGTCCGAACCTAAAACTAAAGGCAAAGCACGTCACCTCAATTTCATCAAAAGGACTTCTGAGACCACCATGACTGTCGGCCGCGGCAACAACTTCTCAAGACACATCGACTCTGTCATATTGCAACTTCCCGTTGTGGCTACAAGCGAGGGATTCAAACTCAAACCAACAACGAGATTTACAAGAACAAAATGCAATCCTTTTTGCGAGGACAGATTAGATTTGGGTTCCATTGTTTCAACGAAGCAAATACTAGGGAATTCTTGTGCGTAGATTCCGTTATGATGAGTAAACGAGTATTCATGTGCGTAGATTCCATTATGATGAGTAAACGAGTAAGGTAAACTCATAAAAGGTATGTACTATGTTCTTCTGAACAGGAAATACATTTATAACGAATTAATGATACAGCTCTTCACTGCATTTGTTCGCTGCTTATTATCAGCTTTCAAAAAAGTGAGCAACAATATATTCTTGACAGCACATCGTTATCATCCCTTGTTCCAAAAAGGCCACAAGGAAATAAGAAATAAATCAAATACCGATACAATTTCATTTCCACCTCCCTCTGAACTGGAAATAAGCTACGATACGAAAAATACAAAAATCTGCCGGCGGGGAGTGGGAAATGTAATGGTATGGTTTAGCCTAGTTCTTGTAATCAGGGTTGTCGCGGAGACCAAGTTTATCTAGAACAAAACAGTAAGATTCCCAGTCAGTTCTTCGGAGATACTTCAATAACTTCTTCCTCTTTTGCACCATCGCTACAAGACCCTTCCGAGAATGCTTATCCTGTATCAACAATATCAATCAATAAACAGGTCATTTACCTCAAATAGACTTTGTAAGTTAATTAGGCCACGTTCAATTCGCAGATTCGAGTTGAGATGTGATTTTATGTGAGAGTTTTTCACTGTAGCAGAAAAAAAATTTAATGTGATTTTTTGTAAGAGCTTTTAACTGTAGTAAAACTGAAATTGAAAACTCAAATTGATGAAATGAACGAATTCTAAATATGCAAAGAGAGAATTGTTTTTGTTTTCACCTTCTTGTGTAGAACTGCTGATAGATGTTTGATCTTGGTTGTGAGTTGTGCGACTGTACGCAGCAATCAGGAAATGTAAATCAGTGAACTCCGAAAGACACGGAAACCGTGATCAAGAGGTCCGCCCCGAACTCAATAAGCAAGGTAACGAATTATTTTCCCCGTGAAAACAAGTAAAAAAGGGATAAAATTATTTTGATACATGTTATTGATACCATGTGTTTTTATAATATCAAAATGATACCTCGACATTTTTAAAAACATTTTCAGGGTATTTTGAAGCTAATTTTTAAAATATGTAATGTCCAAACTACCATTCTTATCAATTAAATAGAAATCAATATTTAAAAAATATTTTTATATTTTAAAACATTAAAATATTTAAAAGATCATAACAAAATAAAAAAGTTCATGATTTTTTTCCTAGAACTATTAGTTTTTTATTAATTAAATAAAAGGGTACTAAGGTCATTTTACATATCAAAAAGCGGGTTTAGGGTATCAAAAAGGTTTTTTTGAAAACATTGAGATACCGCTTTAATATTATCAAAAAGACAGGATACCAAATGTATGTTTTGCTATAATACAGGGTACCAAAATGATTTTATCCCTAAATACTATGCCAAATCAAAACAGTCTTTGCAACAATAACTATTAGTGTTCTACTACGATCTTTCTTTTCTCTTTGGTGAAAAGGACATTCCACATTTCTTTTAAACGAAAAATAATTTAAGGACAATGCACCAGCTTGTTCAATTACTCATAATTCACCAAATTCTCTTTTGCTTCCCCTTCCACCACCACCACCACCCCCCTTTTCATTCTTCCTTTTTCCCTTTTTTTTCCTTTTTCTTTTTGCCCTCTCTTTTCATTTATCTTTTGTGTAAAATTATCTTTTTGCTAGAGCTATCGAGGGATTAGCAGACATGGACATGATATGGTGAGTATGAAACCATCATATGTCCTAGAAACAGGCGGAGAACAAACTTGATTATACTTCTAAACTCAGCTATGCGTTTTCCTTCCGGAGACGCACCAAACAAGCATTAACATTATGCAACAAGAACCCAATACCTTGTACTCTTGCGGATCCACAATCTGATTCTGACATTTTAAATTCGTCTCTAACTTTGGCAAGCTCACTTTTCATTTTTTCTGCTGAAGACATGTTATCTGGATGGAAATACTGCATTGATGTTTCAAAACGTATAAGAAATTAGCACAAGGATCAAAGTGCTACTTCAGCTGAAAATTACGACAATTCATTCACGCTCTACCAAGGATTAAAATTTATCACGAAATAGGTTAACAATTGCAAAACGTCAAAGTTTTTACAAGACAATACCGATGCAGAAGAAGCTGAGGGACTTCATTGGAGAGATGGAATTGAGATATCAACAAATAACAAGTGATTCTCAAGTTCTTACAATTAATATTTCTCGAAGGGCTAGGCAGCACAAGAGGAACTGAAAAGGATGAGCATTGACTTAAAAACTACCGTTTCACTTGTCAAAACTATGGCAAAATACCCGATCAATTCATATTTCTAAAAAACATAATGCCCGGAAATACACCTTTCACCTTTGTATAAAATTCAGATTAGAGTTCTCCATCAAAATCATGTTCCGCCTACTCTTATGACTTATCATGACATCAAATGCATTTCAAATCAACTTTAGAGTTTCGACCCTAACATATGAAGCAGGACCAGTCCAACTGAACAAGCACACACAATTGACACAACCTAAAATGTTATACAGCCTTTTGTTCTTCATTTAGCTTGAAATCGTAGTCAGTCAGATACAAGAGTTTTATGTCATATCAAATCCTGCAAGGCTGCAACAACTATCTTTTAACTTAATACAGATGAATTTGCTAATCCTAAAAATCATACAAAATCATCTTGGCTCGTCATAAACCTAGTAGTATCTCAGTTTTTACAGTTAACTTGTAAGAAAGCAAAGCACTTGCCCTTTCAACCAAATGTTCCTTCGGAGGTTGCATCATGAAGCTTGGAGTTCGACCCAGCTGACCCAACACATCAAGCCTCTCAACTGAAATAAAAAAGACATCAATCAACAAATGACAAACAAGAACTTTAGTATCATCTTCATACGTCC